CTTTATAACAAGCACAAAAAAAATCATTAATAATCGATAGATCCTAATTCAAATTCATAACGATTTAACACACCAATTGATCATTAATTCTTCTTCTTACAAAACTAGCATAGTTCATGACTAAATCACTTTTCAAGTAAAAGCCAAATCTCAACTTCTATTAAATAATCTCATCTTAAACATAACTAACTCAATTTATCACTCAGTTTGTTTACACACTAACATAGTTGCTAATTAGCAAATGCATAATTGGTAATAACATAAAGCTATAGTTAACTATTAACACTATCTTTATTAAAACTAGTGAAACTATTCAATTGAGCCCAACTGTTCACTAACCATTTGAACTATTATAAATGGAAAATTTAATTTTTTCAATATATCTGTAGAAATAACATCTCATTTCATTTCAATCTCAACTCCAAATATCAATATTATATCATCACTTCAATACCATCAACACCAAAATAAAGTTAAAAAAAAGTAAGAGAAAATCACCATTCAATACTCTTTAACAACCAAGCTAACCAAAGTCAAAGATACCTTACTCAGTATCCGAAACCAAGCCCTCAATAATACTCAACTATAAATAACACATAGTTAAGAAGTGAATCACCACATTCAAAACTCAATGCAATCCAATGCCATAGACTAAATACGACCATATAATATTGACAAAGATGGAATTGAAATGTTAATATGGAAAATCATGTAAGACTAACAACACGATCTTTTACAACACCATTTGGTAGTGAGCCTATCACTACTAAATCATCATCAAGTGAAACAAATGTTAAAAGTCCTTGACAAAATTTATAAGTAATCACTAGTCATCAAAATAATCAACAACCACACTTCAACTTACTTTCAGAAAACCTAAATACTCTACTCATATCATTGTGTTATATACTTGTCCAACAAATACATAACACCCTAAGTGCAAGATATAGAAATATGAACAAGCATGAATTAAATGACCATTCGAATCCAATCGAATTGTAATAAGCTTAACAACACGTTTAGCCAATAACTCTGAGTATGCATTGAAGAGGTTAGCTATACATGATTAACACTCAACCAAAACTAAAGTGAAGACCATGGGATAAACTTATATAAATACACAACCTCCTAATAGACAAGGTTATAGTATAGGTACTAACACTTCAATTACAAACAATTAAGTTAAACATCTGATTTCTAATGATCTTGCTTATTGTAATTTGGTTGTAGATGTCAAAGAAACCAACTAACACTCTATATGCTGACATACAAATACATTCTTTCAATCCCTCACCACTACTACAAAGGATGACCTTTAATAGTTGCCTTCATTGGCCTCACACAAACAAGTATGAAAAAAAATATGTATTAACTTTAATATTTCCTGGTTTTGAACACTATTTAGGTTCACCCTCTTTCTCCTACGGGAAGTGTTGGCAACGTGGAAATAGTTATTAGGGACTACTTTCAGCTTTCCAATAACATGAGCCGATAACCTTTTGTGTTTCATAAATGAATGCGAGGATTGAGAATGATTAATAACTTTGGCATTGACCTCGTATTCTTCAACTTGCCTGATGGGTTACCACCTTTACAAGACGACACTCCATCTTGGAACATCCTTCGACTAGACCACATTTCTCAAGCGATGGATATGGAATCTAAGATGTT